TTGAATAAATGCATTTTTCAGATGTTGATTGTGGTAAACCAGAACACATTCAACATGGTAGATATACTTTAACATCAAATGCTACTTATTATGGAGCAGCTGCTCTTTATGAATGTGACGGTAATTTTGAATTGGACGGATTTGCTAGACGATTATGTCTCGAGAATGGTACTTGGAGTAGTGACACTCCAGTTTGTAAAGGTAAGTCTAGATTAAAATTTAATTTTAAATTGTTATAAAATAAATACTATCTATATAATGTAATTTATATGATTATATTATAAATAATAAAAACTTTTTGTTAAATTTTATATAAATTTATAAAAATTTTATATAAAAATTTCATTTTTCATATTTTTTTAAAATATTCTGTCATATTATTTTTATATTATATTATATTCATTGCATTATTTATTCATAGAAATTAGATGCAAAGATCCTGAGAAAGAGGGTGTACTATCTACACAAGTTTCAACTCATAGTGTAGGTGGAATAGCTCACTATAGTTGTCCTCGAGGATTTTATATGGAAGGAAATGAAACTAGAGTATGCTTACAGAACGGATCTTGGAGTGGAAACACACCTGCCTGTTTCTGTAATTATATTTCTCAAATATCTTGAATTTATGCAAAAATGAAATATAAAATTAAACATTTGATTCAATAGTGGTTGACTGCAAACATCCAGAGCCTATAGAAAATGGAAGAGTGATAGTAGTAAATGGAACCATTACATACGGTGGAACTGCAGAATATCATTGTTTACCACAATATGAAAGAATAGGACCGTTTTTAAGAAAATGTTTAGATACAGGTTCATGGAGTGGAGAGGAACCCAAGTGCGAATGTAAGCAAAAATAATATTAAGAATATATTGAAAAGATATAGAGAAATATTTTCATATATTATCAATATTTATTATATAACAGTTATGCCGAATGAAGTAGCGGAAACGCAGGGTGTAGGAACTAGCGTTGGCATTGGAGCTGGTGTTATCATATTTATATTAATTATTCTTGGACTTGTTTATTTAAGACTGTAAGTAAAATTTATAATAAAATAAGAAATATTAAATTAAATTAAACTAAATTTTCAAATTAAAAATTTAAAAAAAATATTTTTTTTTAGGAGGAAAGCTACGCCAGTAAAAAATACTGAAAATGTACAAGCTGCTGAAAGAAAGGAAGATCAAAATGCTGCTGTTATGTCTTATGCCACTCTTAACGATGGTACACCTAATAGTATGTATGAAAATGTTCCAGAGGATGGTCTTTATGATAGTCCTTATAGTCTAAATAGTAGTACCTATAGGTAAGAAATCTTTTTAGAAAATTTTTTAATAAAAAGAGGACGATTAAATTATTTTTAAATTAAAGGTATGGTACTAATATGAGAAGACATTATGGTAGATCTGGACATTACGAAGCAGAACCAGTTTCAAACAGAAACGGCATTACAATTAACGGAGTGTCTGTGCGATAGTTTGAAATATAACAATTAGAACCGAAACTGTGTATTTTTTAAAATTAGATATTATTTATGTACAGGTAGAAGGATATAGATACGTGAAATTTTGTTATCTTTATTTATATTATTATATTTGGCGTATCGCCGATCTATGTAAATAAGTAAAAAGAAGTAACGTGATAAATTTACGATAGTGTTTTTCATACCAATGATGAAAATATGTTATATTAATGAACATTCTTATATTATTTCGACAATTCAATCCTATGTATTATTATGTATATAAAATGTTCTCTTAATATAGAACTATGTCTCAAATGACGAATTTATAACATAAATTCGTATGTTGATTGGTTATAAAACGAATAAAGAACCAATATTCTTGTTTTATTTTGTATTTTGATATATTTTTAAGAACCACTGAAAAATATTATTTTAATTACAATGTAGATTAATATATTATGATGATATAATATGATTTTATTTATTAAATTTGCTGTAAATATGATTGTGAAATATATAGCAATTATATGTATTCAGTTTCATTGCCTTATAAGGTAATGATTTCTCCATCAACAGTTTATTCCAACTAAGGTATTTGTAATGTATTCTTTCGAAAATAAATCAATATATTTTTTAACAGTTATATCCAAAGTTTTTAGCATTAATATTATTAATTTCGTGAAATGATTAAAATATATAAATAAATTAACTTGTTTTCAAAATAAAATAAATTAATATTCATTAAAATTTGTAAGTGTAAATTAAAAATTAAACTAAAAATTAACATTAATGTAATAAATACTTTATATATTATTTTAAATATTGAAATAATAATTGATTGTATTGCGAAGAATACAAAAAATGAAGAAAAAATCGATCACAGTATTTTTTTTCTTGCTCTAATGTGGCCTAATTTTTGGATGTCTAGAAAAGGCTTGAATAATGAATCCTTCACCAGATGGCGTTACTTACCCGGGTGTGGTAAATAACCATAGAGTGACGCGTAACGTGAGTCACAGTAGAGCACGAGTGTCTGTACTGTTCTGTTTTTTCGGATTTTTCTAGTTTTGAAGCTATTAATAATCAGGTTGGTAGAAATTTGTTTGTTTATTCGAATATTTGAATATAAATCCATCTTCTGATTAACTTGTATATATGAGAATAATGTGAAAATTACGAAATATTTGACAGCAATCTATTTGCTTATATGGACAGCCATTGTTATTGTGTCGTTGTTTCGAAGAAGTGTATACATTTTTGTTAATATGTTTTTCTCGTTTAACAAAATTATTTTTATTTTTATTGTTATATAAAAGAAGTAATATCTTTTATGTAACAATGATATAAGGATTTTAATCATATCCAGTAAATCATATCCATGTTTACTAAAAATTAAATATTGCTTACGTCAAATATATTTAGTAAAAATTTTGAAATGAAGAAGTATAAGATTAAAAATTGTAGCTATTTATTCGGAAAAACATAAAAATGCAAATATATTAAAAATATAAAATAAATCATTATCTTATGAATAATATTTATTTTAATAAATATGCAACAGTTTTTAATGATATATTGATTTTTTGTTAAATTATAGTTTAAAATTTAAATTAAATTATATAGTGAATAAAATTTATATAAACTTCTATAGATGTAGAGTGTAATGTTCTCTTTATTGAATCGTCACGTAGACGATTTTATTTTTATCCCGATTTTGGTTACGTCGTTATTTCCTAAGTCAATTGTCTAAAAATAAATAATAGTTCAGTAATGATAGTCTTGTAGATGTGTAAATACATTTAACGTTTATTGTTTTTTCTAACACTGTTCTAAATCATGTGAATAAAAATACTCAAATTTACATAACCTCTGTCCCACTTGCAATGCTATCTTTAAAAAATATTTCTGATGAACTAAAATTTTTTAAAAATTATATAATAATAATATATGCTGGAAAAAAATATGAATTAAGAAATTAATTTATTTTTTATTCATAATTTCAGGCATATAAACATGTCTTCGCGTAAAACAGCCGGACGTCGTGCTACCACTAAAAAACGAGCACAACGTGCAACATCAAATGTTTTTGCTATGTTTGATCAAGCTCAAATTGCTGAATTTAAAGAAGCTTTTAATATGATTGATCAAAATCATGATGGTTTCATCGATAAAGAAGATCTGCATGATATGCTTGCCTCATTAGGTAAGAACCTGAAAAAATATTTATAGCATAAAGATTTCTTAAATTGTATATGATTTGTATATGATATGAATTTATTTTTGCTTTAGGTAAAAATCCGACTGATGAATATTTGGAAGCAATGATGAATGAAGCTCCAGGACCTATCAATTTTACTATGTTCTTAACTTTATTTGGCGAAAGGCTTCAAGGTACAGATCCAGAGGATGTAATTAAAAATGCATTTGGTTGTTTTGACGAAGAAAATACTGGACACATAAATGAAGAACGCCTCAGGGAATTGCTTACGACAATGGGAGATAGGTAATTTTTATATTCTATTTAATAAACTTTATTATCTTATTGAAATTTCATTGCATTTTATATATTTAGATTTACGGATGACGATGTCGACGAAATGTATCGAGAAGCACCTATTAAAGGATCGATGTTTGATTATATAGAATTTACTCGAATTTTAAAACATGGTGCTAAAGACAAGGATGAACAGTGAAATATCTAAAATCGGTGTGCATATAACACATTTTAATATGGTTGCAATTGTAAAGTTTGAAATATTATTGTATTTTGTACATCCTATATTAATGAGAATAATTGCAAATCTAGGATTCATATTATTTTTTGAACAACTGCCTTATCTCTAGATCCTAAATGTATAAATCCTAATATTATATAAACATATGATATTTATTTTAAAATATAAATATTCATGTATATGAACTATATAAATGAGTACAGAGAAAAAACGAAATTACTTCATATTTTAACACAAGTTACAATTACTGTAAAATCAATAAAAATATAATATGTAATATATATTATATGCTACATTAACATATAATTGTTAAAGAGTTGGCATTTATATTTTAATATAATGCATTATATATCAAAAAAAATGTCTATTTTTACATCCATTCTATTTGATTTTTATATTAAGCAAAAATTAATTTTTAATACATACTAATGCTCCAATTGAATACAACTTAAAACAAAAAGAAATTATTTAAGTAAATGTAAAATAAAAAATATTTATTTCTATTAATTAATAACAAAATATAAATAAAATATTTGTCTTTTATTTAAATTAACATAAAACAAATATATTAAAAATATTTAATAAATTAAGCAATAAGTAAATAATAAAAATATTAATTTATATTTCAAAAAGAAAGATATTAAAAATAAAAAAATGTACTATTGATATTAAAAAGTTCTAAAAGAAAGATAAAATTGACAAAGAGGATTTTGGTAATTGACAGGCGCGATCATTTTGCGTCTGCGCATTAGAACTTATGTACAGTATATACAGAATGAAGTCTCACGAAGCCGCAGTATCATTTCCACTAGTGCGAGTGTGGGGTTTACTTCGTCTGTTCGATTCGTCATTTCTGCCACTCGCGGTGGTCTTTCTTGTCGCGTCCCTGCTCAGTGATTGTTCCATCGAAGAAAAAAGCGAAGCGAAACATATTGGATACTCGGAAACATTGGCTTTTCTTGATCTCCTTTCAAAAAGGACAGAATTAATATCCGAATGTCGTTCGATCATTCACTGACTGCAGAACACGATGTGTTTATTGTTTGGTGAATATAGTGAATCAATGTGTTTCGTGTAACGTTGTTCGTTCTGTGAGTGAATTTTTCCTAATTGAAGTAAAGAGATGAGAAATGAAACGAGGGACAAAAGTAGAAGCTGTCAGCCGCGAATTGGGTTACGTCCCGTTCGCCTGGCAACGATATATGACGCAACAGCCACCCTTCGTTAGTATCCATGATCCTCGTGATCTTTACCTGCGATTTTAACTGCAACAGGACTTTAAGATACGCGAAAAAGAAACGCTAAACTGCTCTCCATGCAATCAATTATCCTCGCTCCATTATCCTTATTGCGCAGTCAGTTTTGGAGGTTAGTTGATCACAATTAAGAAATTTAAACGAAAGCGACACCCACAGAGACAACCGGATCAGCTGTTTCCCCAGGACGACCTTTCAACTACGCTTGGTAAATATATTTTCTTCTCAAATTGTTATTATATCTTTCGTAATACTATTGGAATAATTATTTCTTTACTGAATGTTATGTACAATTTCTTCATAACACAACTCTAATCATGAATTAAATCAACTGCGTGTAATTAATTCTCTTTTGAACGATAACATTTCTGCACTATATAGAAGAGTTCATTTTTTCATATATTGTTTCATACGTTGAATAACGTAGCATATTTTTGTATATACATTCGAAATATGGGATATAATAACGAAAATTAGATATTATTAAATTTTGAATGCTATTTCGTGATTTCCTTTTATGTGTGTTTTAATATATATAGAAAAGACACAAGAAAGTATGTAATAATAAACATATGGAACACGTGACTGTAAATGAGAGCGCTGTCAAAAGCAAAAATGTTCTGTTTTCGCGCGTCTCGCAATTAAAGAGTTCTTTATTTCTAGGCAATAATTATTAAAGAACGATATCAATGGTATTCGTTCACGGTTCGGAACGTAATTTGATTTTTTAATGCTAAAATATTGTAGCATGAAAACGATTTAACGCTTGCGAACAATACAATTTTCTTGAATCACAAATAAAAAGATAATAATACATAACTGTGCACATTGCATACGCTCGATGTAATATGATCCAATGCTCGTACTGGTCATATCATTTGTTATTGCATAACATGCTTCTACGATTGCTTAAGAACATTAATATAAAAGCGTAACGAGTCTTGAAATTGAATGAATTTAAGTTGTCTCGTTCGACGATCAACTTTCACGAACTAATTTTATCATTTATTCTGTATAATAAGAAAGTAAAATTTTTACGTTTCAAACTTTGAAATATTTACATTAAAAACGATCAGTTATTTAGAACACGATTTTTTTATATAGATGTTCTAATATAAAAACTATGATATAATAAGTTACGTTTATTATTTTACAATATAATTAATTATGTGTAATAAAAATATGATAAATATATATATGAGGATAGAAAATGAAATCGTAGAAATGATATTTTTTGCATCAACAAATTAAGGTTTCCGTTGAAACGCATACAAATGAAAGCAGTATTATCAAACTAATTGTATGTACTGAGTCAGGGACGTCTCTAATATGCAGCCACGTTTTCAAACAGGTTGTTCTAAATACTAGGTAATACGTTAAATCTGTTACGCGATTTCACGTTCTCTGTTGCGAATCCCCGTTTTTTTTTTTTCGTGTCACATTGTTCTTTCACAGTAAGCACCAGGCATCTAACACTCACAGCTGTTCAATACAGCTAATAGCTTTACAAAATTGATCACCTTGTTGCGTAATGTTCGTCCAGAACTTAACCTAATTCTTGATGCTTAATACGACATGAAAAATTAAATTTAAATATATAATAATTATTAATATTAATAATAATGTAATTACATTTAAAAAGCAACTATACTTCAGAAATTATTTCTTTTTATCAAAATTGTATATTAATAAAATTTATATTAAAACAGAATATTTAAAAAATGAAAATAAATTATATAATAAAATATAATTAATTATATTTATTAATAAAACAAATTCAACTATTCGAAACTTACTTTTGAATATAATATGATTATTAAGAAGAAAAAAAATATATTTTCCAAAATTAAGAAAAGAATTAACATAGAATAAATATAGTTTAATAATCAATAAAAAATATAAATATAATATTTCAAAATCCTTTTTTAATATTTGCAAGATTACACTGAGAAATTTTATGTTACAATGTATTTAATAATATCGATAAGATCTTTATTGCAGACATAATTATTATAAAAATATCTTATATATATTTATAAATTAAACTTTAATGATAATTAATCTTAGAAAATGATAATCAAAAATATGTTGGGATAGAAAAAAATGGAAAACAATTGATATATCAATATTATCAATAATATATTTATAGTTAATTTTGATATTTATAAAATTAATATTTAAACAAAAATTTTATTATAATTTTATTCAATTATTTAATATTTATCTGATATATATATATATATTTAAAAATATTAATTATTTCAGACAAATAATTTTTCTAATGATATTGATGAGATCATTAGTGAAATTTAGATACAGTTTTTATTTTCAAACTTCAATTTGAGATCTAAATGAAAAAAAAAAAAAGAATTATATGTATATTAATGAAAGAGAAAAACAATCATAAAATTATATATTATCAAAAATATCGAAGTTTTTTTTATAAATTTAGAGAAGAAGAAATATCGATTTTTTTTATAAATTTAAAAAAATATCGATTTCTATATATAAATTTTTAAGTAAAAAAAAAATCTTATAGATTAAATCTTCGATCGATAATCTTATAATCTATATATCAAAATCGCGATATATAATTATATTATCTATAGAAAGCGTTGCAAATATCGTATTATATCGGATATATAGTATTTCAATTCATTAAATTATTACAGAATTCATGGTTACATCATTTTTTGATTTAATAATCATTTACCATATTTAAGTCATCTCGTTTATTTAATCTAGATCATTTTATTTTTAGAATTACGATTTCAGTTACGCCGTTATAAGTGGTATTATATTGGCCTCATTAAAATATTCTATGTACATTTCGATATATCCAAGAAATTATATATATCATTTTCTTTACGTTTATACTCTTAAAACAAATAAATTATTTCTAGATCTATATACAAAGTTTCGTATAAATATTTTAATTTTATTTATTTCGTATAAAAGATACGGTAATATTTCAGCATATTATTAAAAACGTTAAATTCATTTTAAATGCACTAAAGTGCAGTTGTAGTTTTAAAATTATCTATGAAAGTGCATTATATTATTATTTTACCTTGATATACTTTTACCTATTCGTTATTAAATTTTATTACGATTCTAATTCCGTGGCTTTATTGACTATCGCGATAATACGAATTCTTCTAAACGCGAATTGATATTTCAAGGTCAACATTCTCAGGCGATATCTTGTGATATTTCACTAGCAGTATTTTATTTGTTTTGACAATATGCATAACAAAATAAATAAATGTCACGCATATTGTAATAATAAAGTGTGACAAGAATTTAATTTAATCTATATATACTATATCATGTGTCGTACTATATATAATATGTATCATGTATAACATAGTTTTTGTATCCATATATTTTAATTTACCATATATACAATATAAAAATTTTTACATTTGCTTTAAATAGTGTAACATTATATTTTTTAATATTTTACTATATGTATAAAAATGCTTAAAATTGGTGTTCCTCGCTTTTTATATATATATATTTAATACATATAATTCTGATATATCAATTATTATTATATTTGTTAATTTCGATATCATATAATATTATAATATTGGAATACATTAAATTTTTTTCATATATAATATATTTTTTTTATTTCACTTTTTCTAATGATTAATTTATTTTAAAATTAATATGATTAAAAAAAAAATAATTAATTATAACGATCTTTTATTTGTTTATATCTTGATTAAAACTAACTTATTTTATATTTTATTTAAAATCTTATTATTATCCAATAATTGCAAATATAATCTCAATCTGTGACCAATATATAGTAATATCTCACCAATTTATGGCGTGTAGAATAGTAAACGAATATTTAATAATAAGGAATAAGGAAATAAGTTAAAATTCAAATAATTTCATTAATAATTAATATATTATAAAAAATTTCATTTTTATTTCTCTACTATATGTACAAAAATATAAAAATTTTTATTATTTTTTTAAATAGATAGTATTAGAAACATACTCTCCAAATATAATTCGAACGGATGTTCAACTATGATTCAATCTCGAGCCAAAATATTCGGGTCACTCGCTCTAGAGAGGCGAGTAGGTTAAAGTTTGGTATGTCAGGAGGCCGGCTAGACAACATTAAGCGAACGCAAAAGATTGCGAATCTTCCCTAAACAGAAAACAGCAGCCGTGGCTCGATAGCAATAAAATGTCCATAAGTTACCGCGCAAGAGGGTGCTCTCCGTTTCGATAACGAAAGCGATTCAGTGGCAAGAGAGGATGGGAGAAAGCCTAGCCTCGAGTAGGATGAACGACGCCGATTCTAGCAAGGTTAGATATTGCGGCGCGCATGCGTCATATCGATTTCTTCCTTTGCCTTTACCTTTACTTTTGCCTTTACTTTTGCCTTTATCCGTGTCTCTATCTTTGTTATGCGTACACGCGCAAACAATCATTCTACAAACATTTTCTTTTCTTACTTGTCTAATTGTCTGAGAATGTATTTAAAAAGAAATGCTCCGTGTTACAAAACAAAATGCAAATTTGTGCCAAGTTATACGAGTTTTGCGATTGATCAGATATAATTTAAACATTCGAATCAAGAACGAAAAGTAAATGGTTAGCCAGATAAATCTTAGTGCATCAATTCAACTGGTGTTTGTGATTGGATTCTTATTTGGATAATTTACAGTTACAACTCATCTTTCCTTCTCATATTATAATATTTATATAACCCCACTAGTTAGAGTGCAATTTGAGAAAACTTAAATACCTATGGTCCGATTAGTAACATTAGTCACGTGACTGAGTGCAAGAAAGAAAGAATTTTTCCCTAGTAGTGGGAACGAATTCCAAGCATGTATCCGTGAGAAAAGAATAAATACAACGAATAAATGCATGTGCATGCATACGCGAGAAAACATTCTAATTAGGTATTTTCAATTATTCCAATTGATAATTGGAAATATATAGGCAAATTAAATCCTTCAAAGGTATTTTCACCGATATATTCTTCCGGTTCGTTAACCGAACGAATCGGGTTAGATTGGCCGTAAATCGTGCCGCACCTGTCTGTAGGCCGATCGAATGCTTTTCGAGGATGCAGTGACAATGAAATTCGATAGTCTCGGATAACTTATATCTATTGGATCGGTGTATTCACGGGTCAACGGCGTTACGACAATACCGAAAGCCGGACAGGGATAG